ATCCAATATTGAGCCATGCAGGACTACTGTGAGGAGTAATTAAAAATCGAAACAATTTTTCCAATTTATTTCGTATTGTTTCGTAATTTTGGTTCAAAATTGTTTCGTAATAGTTTCGTAATTATTTCCGTATGTCTGGTGCAAGTTTTATAGTTGTTGTTTGTTTTATCAGTGATAAAAAATAAATTATCACACCAACAGTCAACAACAGAGGGAGAGGGAAGCTTCAGAAGTTCCCCCTGTCCCATTTGGAGGGTTTTTAGCATATTGCGCAATCGCGTCCGCCATTAACGAATCGATTCGTAATTTTACGAAATTTCGTATATTTCGAACTTTTTTAAAGGAAAATTTCGGAATTCTTTAAAAAAACGAAACGCAAGGGCCCCCCCTAAAAACGAAACGAGTTTAGAACCAAATTTTTCCGTTGTTACCCAAGCCTATTGGATAGCTTCACTTCACAGTGAAGTCCAGATTTACTGCTGTATTAACATGGAAGCCACAAGGTGTCTCTGGCCAACATGGCCATCAATAAGGGACTGGGGGAAGTCCTATTCCAAAGTGTTTAGAGGGCTGAAGGTTCCCAATCTTTGTCATTTATATAGAGATCTAGACTTATAAGGTAGGCTTGGTTGATCATGAAAAAAATTGTTCTAAACTCGTTTTGTATATAGGGGGTGCTGGCAGTTCGATTTTGAAATTATTTCCGAAATTTTCTTTAAAAAAAAATCGGATATACCAGGAAATACAAATCGCTTCCTTTGTTTCGTTAATGGAAGGTGCCCCTCCCTCCAGAACCATTAAAATCTCGCAGTTTGCCTTTCTTCCCTTACAGATAGGCTTCAGCACCTTGGATAGCTTCCATGCAGAAGGGAGAGGTGGGCGTGGCCAACCACAGCCCTCCTTGGAGGCCTCGCCCCCAGCGACCTCCAGGAGCACTGTGCTTGGCCACGCCCACCTCTCCCTTCTGAATGACAGGTTGCCAGGGAAGGGAAGATGAGAGATTTTAAAGCTAACACTTTCAAAATCTCTCATCTTTCCTTCCCTTCCCTGGCAAGCTTCCATGCAGAAGGGAGAGGTGGGCGTGGCCAAGCACAGCTCTCCTTGGAGGTCGCGGGGCGTGGCCTTCAGGAACAGCTGTTCTTACCCACGCCCATCTCCTTCCTCTTTGCATCGGCGGCTTTGCGAGGTGGGCGTGACTATGCCCAGCTCTTCTGCATCACCGCTTGTTGCCAGGCAGGTAGCCACGCCCACCTCACAAAGCCCACCTTCCAAAGAGGAAGGAGGTGGGTGTGGGTAAGAACAGCTGTTCCTGAAGGCCTCACCCCCAGCATTTACGATTCACTGCCGGAAGTCGTAAGGAAGATGGCGGACGCGGCTTCGATATGGCAAAAACACTTCCGGGTTGCCAAAACGCGTCGATATCGCTTCTAAAGGTATTTTATTTACGATTTCTTAACGAGATTAGAAATTAACGAGCTGGATCAACCAAGCCTACTATGAGGTACACACAGACCTGCTGACCAGATACATATCTGAAGGCATTATGAAGAGATTCCATAAAGAAAGTGTCCTACCTTGAGAAACAGGGCCCCCTTCGAAGACAGGGAGTCCGTTCCTTTCCCATTGGGATAACAGTGATAGGCAGCATCCATGACTGGATAACGGCTGGCAAAAAGCAGGCCACTGTTCACAAACTTAAATGTACAGTGGCCATGGCAGCTGTAGACTCCAACATCGTACAGAATGTATTCAAAGTAATGGTGGAGCTGGTCTTTCAACTTCTCCGCCGCCCTTTTGTCAAACACTTCCTGGAGGCACAGGAAGTCCAAGTTGGCAGGGAAGAAAGCAGAGATCTCGTGGTCAAAGGGCTCGTCGGTGTTCCTCTTTTTCCTCACCGAGGTCTTCTTCATGAGCGAGGCCTTGTAGAGGAGTTTGCTGTTGATGGTGCTTTGGTCCACCGGGCCATCTCCAGTGCGCGCCTTCACCAGGGACTCTCGAGAAGCGGTGTAGCTATCCAAACTTCCAGAGTCCCCTTCCTTCTGCTTATGGTTGGGTGTCTGACCTTTCAAGCTTTCAGCCTCAGCTTCTGGGGAACGGTCCATTGGCCCCCTGTTATTATTCACCTGGCCACCCAACCCGTCCGCCTCTGGGTCTGAAATGTGGCCGTTATCCTCTCCACCAATTCGGACAATGCAAGTGTTGCCATCTTCTCCCTCGTTGGCCTCTCCTCCAGCTTTGCCATCTTTGTTGTCTTCGCTGTTGTTTGAACCAGAGTTATCCCCCTTGTACTCCATAGACGTTGTCCTCTTGAGGCCCGCATTGACGGCCCGGTTATTGCTTTCTCCACCCTGAGGCGACACCAAGCTGCTGAAGCTCGCGGCGCTGATGGACGTGTTGGTGGGGGAATCTATGTAGATTTTGATCTGAGGCCTGCTGGCACCATTTCGGATCCGCCGGCCGACTTCCTTCGCTCGCGCCTGTGTGTTGAACACATTGTTGAGCCGGGCCAAGGAGTCCGGGAGCAAGCAGACATTCGCGGAGCCGAAGCAAAAGCTCTTCCCATTGCTGGAGGCCTTCCACTCCGTGAGCAACGTACCGCCGTGGATGTGGCTTTTGTCCTGCACCCTGGAGTAGACATAAGGTCGTCTCACTGACTGGAGAGGGGACCATAACAGGAAGCCGATGAGGGCGAAAGGAAGCGAAACCGCCAAGAGGGCTAGGTAGATGGGAGTGGTGATGATGATGCACAGAGCATGGAAGTAGCATGGGTCATCTCCCCGTTGGCGCTTCTCATACGTGGTCGGCACAAAAGAGCCCACAAGCCGGTCTCCGATCCAGTAACATGGGAAGATTAAGCCCCAGGAGAAAGAGTGCAGTGCGGATAGAAAGCCGTTGGGAAATGGGGAAGTGTATAAAACCATTGCAACTCAGTTAGGACACCCCGTCAGCACCTTCTACATGGTGTCACCACCGTCCCTCATCCATCTGAGCAATTTGTTTGCAAGGGGGAAAAAAGGAGGGAATGCAAACTCTTCTGGCAAGGTGGTGTCTTCCAGCCTGCAAGCAAGTCAATATCACCTTAGCAGCACCATCTCATGTTGTTATGGGAAGAAGGCAAGTTGAGGCGGTCGTTCCTTTGGGCTTTGGGTGTACGAAGGCTTCCAAGTGTATCATTGCTCACTGCAAGGAGCCATGCCAGGTTGCCAGAAGGAGGCAAGAAAAATGTCACCTGCAAAGACAAAAAAAGAGGAAAGAACAGATGTCAGGCTATGGTTTCTACTTGGGTGGATAAGCAGCACAGTCACAGAAATGTATACGTTGAGCATCCTTTATCTGGAATACTCAAAAATCCAAATTATTCTGAATGGAGGCTGAGATAGCAATACATTTGCTTTCTGGTATACCATACACAACATTTCATGCACAATGTTATCTATATATAAAAAAATGCTCTGTGCGTAATGAGTAAAGAACCAATGAACAAAATCACACCAAATTCGGCAACAACACATCTCACAACACAAGGAGTGACCATCACTCAAAAAATTATGATTTTGTCATTTTGGAGTTGTAGTTGCTGAGATTTATAGTTCACCTATAATCAAAGAGCATTTTCAACTCCACCAATGATGGAGTTGAACCAAACTTGCCACACAGGACTCCCCTGACCAACAGAAAACACTAGAAGGGTTTGGTGGGCATTGACCTTGAGTTTGGGAGTTGTGTTTCTCCTTTATAGCAGAAAGGGCTGTACTGGATGGCCCTTGGAGGTCCCTTCCTATCCCAGAATTCGATTACTATTGTTATTGTTGTTATTATTATTACATTATTATTATTATTATTATTATTATTATTATTATTATTAAGCAGAGAGTGAATGTCCATCTGTCAGGAGTGCTTCGATTCTGGGGCAGGATTGGATGGCCCTTGGAGGTCTCTTCCTACCCTAGGATTATATTATTACTAATACTATTATTATTGCTGTTGTTATTATTATTAAGCAGACTTTCTCGTTACTTAATTTTCCATAACACCAAAATGTGCCACCTCTCAGGCCATCAAGTGACCATCACTCATAAAAACACTGAAAAACACAGCAGAAGAGACTTAAAAAGCCAAAAATTTAAAAATGCATTACAACGCATGCACAAAACCACATATACACACATATACACAAATATACACACATATACACACACAATACACATATACACAGACTGGGCCACAGCAACACGTGGCAGGGCAGCTAATAATAATAATAATAATAATAATAATAATAATAATAATAATAATAATAATAATATTTTATTTATAACCTGCCCTATCTCCCCAGGGGGACTCATGAAGATTAAAAACTCTGGATATTTTGGATGAAAACTGAATTTGTGAGTGTACTAAACAGTGTGCAGATACAAAACCGCCCGAGCTCTGCGAGTGCAGCATTTTCCCGAATGAAGCAGAGAGTGTTTGAGGACCGGGACATCCGTAGGGAGACCAAGGTGCTTGTCTATAAAGCTATTGTCCTCCCAACCCTGCTCTATGCCTGCGAAACGTGGACTGTCTACAGACGTCACATGCAACTCCTGGAACAATTCCATCAGCGCTGCCTCTGGAAAATCCTGCAAATCTCTTGGGAAGACAAGCGGACAAACGTCAGCGTGCTGGAAGAAGCAAAGACCACCAGCATTGAAGCGATGGTCCTCCGCCATCAACTCCGCTGGGCCACGTTGTTTGGATGCCTGACCACTGTCTCCCAAAGCAGTTGCTCTACTCTGAACCTAAGAACAGAAAACAGAACATTGGTGGACAGGAAAAGAGATTTAAAGATGGCCTCAAAGCCAACCTTAAAATCTCTGGCATAGACACTGAGAACTGGGAAGCCCTGGCCCTTGAGTGCTCCAGCTGGAGGTCAGCTGTGACCAGCAGTGCTGCAGAATTTGAGGAGGCGCGAGTGGAGGGTGAAAGAGAGAAACATGCCAAGAGGAAGGCGCGTCAAGCCAACCCCGACCGGGACCGCCTTCCACCTGGAAACCAATGCCTTCACTGTGGGAGAAGATGCGGGTCAAGAATAGGGCTCCACAGCCACCTACGAATCCACAGGGAAACCCATCATGGAAGACCATCTTACTCATTCAACGAGGGATCGGCTAAGTAAAGTAAGTGCAGATAAGGTCAGATGCTGGAAGTTGAGCTCTGCTGACAGACGGGTTGAGGCATGTTTTTGCCGTGTAAGGACTCTGCTGTATTTTGTTTGCTTCTGGGACACCTGCTATCCAGCTTGCAGTGGTTGAGGGAGGTCATGATTTGGAAACTATAAATCACTTTATGTACCAGCATCCCTCAACAACTGAGAACAAAGAGGAAACATGGGAAGAGGAGAGAGAAACTGGGATATTTTTAAAGCGGGTGGAATAGTGGAATGTCTTGGGGTCTGGGATGGGCTCAGAGCATTACGAAACATTCCTTGAATCCAGCATGCATAAGCTTGATGAGCAGCTTGGGAAACTTTAACGAAAATAGTATGACACTCCTTCTCTCTGCTTGAGACACCACTGTCATTTATCTCTGCTTTCTCTGTCTCTCGGCAAATGCCACTTGTCAATGATCTGCAGATAGTTGCTAGACTGTGGTGCACATGACACATTTTATCACATCAGCTCATCAGCCTCACGAGAACAAGGAAATCTTTGCACCGAGACTGAAAAGAAAGGCAGGAGCACGATTCCAGTTCTGGAAATTAGGGAATACGTGTGAGAATGCCCACAAAATCCACTATTCAGAAGTCTGAATGAGGGATGTCAAGAATGCTGGTAAATATTGTAGTCCTCAACGAGAATGCACCGGGAATACATTGAGAATACTCTATACTTCAATATACTAGAGTTTGGATCCTATTTCTTGTACATTTTTTCCATTCACAACCTTTTTGACGTAGCAATGTTGACATGACCACAGGTGTGTGTGTGTGTGTGTATGTATGTATGTATGTATATATATACATATATGCTCTGTGCATAATGAGTACCTTAAAAACAAAAGAACCAATGAACGAAATCACACCAAATTTGGCAACAAAATGTCTCACTACACAAGGAGTGACCATCACTCAAAAAATTATGATTTTGTCATTTGGGAGTTGTAGTTGCTGGGATTTATAGTTCAGCTATAATCAAAGAGCATTCTGAACTCCACCAATGATGCAATTGAACCAGACTTGGCACACACAACTCTCATGACCAACAGAAAATATTGGAAGGGTTTGGTGGGCATTGACCTTGGGTTTTGGAGTTGTAGTTCACCTGCATCCAAAGAGCACTGTGAACTCAAACAATGATGGATCTGGATCAAACTTGGCACAAATAATCAATATGCCCACATGTGAACACTGGTGGAGTTTGGGGAAAACAGACCTTGACATTTGGGAGTTGTAGTTGCTGGAATTTATAGTTCACCTGCAATCAAAGAGCATTCTGAAGCCCACCAATGGTACAATTAGGCCAAACTTCCCACACAGAACCCCCATGACTATCAGAATACACAGTGAATTCTGTTGGTCATGTGTTTTCTGATGGTCTTTGGCTACCCCTCTGACACCCCCCTTGTGACCCCCCCCCCCAGAGTCCCGACCCCCAGGTTGAGAAACACTGGTTTAGGTGATCCCAGGTATATAAGTATATAAAATAGGTATACAAATCAAATATTTACGAATAATAAATCATCAAGAAACTGAAAAGATAGTCATTGCACAAAATCAGCATGTATAAGGCTGGTTAAAACAGAGCAAGCTCATTTTCCTTTTTTAGGAAGTACAAGTGAAGTATTTGCTGCATGTCTGCAGATTAATGTAAATGTCTTAAACAGCCACTAGGGGGCAAACTATAGAAATGTTTCATGATCCCACATTATTATTGTTGTTATTGTTTATGTTTATTTATATCCCATTTTTTCTCTCCATAAGGAGACTTAGAGCAGCTTAAATTAAAAGCATTTCAATACAATTTCAAAATATACAATGTATATACATTCAGTTATGGGACTCCATATGAGGTTGTGTCCCGTAGGTTAAAGCTTTGGCTTATAATACAATATCTGCACCCATGGGACAGATATGATTTCACTACATCTGGCAAAATATGTCCTCTTTATGAATTTTCTAAATTTTCTAGGTGACGCTATGGTATCCTTCTGCTAGAGGCTGCCATAAAGTTACCCTGAAGGACTAGAAAATTTCTAGAGCAGTATTTCTCAACCTTGGGGTCGGGACACCTGGGGGGGGGGTGCACGAGGGGAGTGTCAGAGGGGTCACCAAAGACCATCAGAAAATACAGTATTTTCTGTTGGTCGTAAGGGTGCTGTGTGTAAAGTTTGGCCCACGTCTCTTGTTGGTGGGGTTCAAAATGCTCTTTGATTACAGGTGAACTATACATCCCAGCAACTACAACTGCCAAATGCCAAGGTCTATTTTCCCCAAACTCCACCAGTGTTAACATTTGGGCATATTGAGGATTTGTGCCAAGTTTGGTCCAGCTCCATCGTTGTTTGAATCCACAGTGCTTTCTGGATGTAGGTGAACTACAACTCCCAGACTCAAGGTCAATGCCCACTAGTATTTTCCAGTATTTTCTGTTGATCATGGAAAATTTGTGTGCCAAGTTTGGTTCAATTCCATCGCTGGTGGAGTTTGGAATGTTCTTTGATTGTAGGCGAACTATAAATCCCAGCAAGTACAACTCCCAAATGACAAAATCAATCTCCCCCAACTCCACCTGTATTCAGATTTGGGTGTATCGGGTATTTGTGCCTAATAGGACCAATGAATGAAAATGCATCCTACATATCAGATATTTAAATTACGATTCGTAACAGTAGCAACATTACAGTTCCGAAGTAGCAACGAAAATAATGTTATGGTTGGGGGTCACCACAATATGAGGAACTGTATTAAGGGGTCGCGGCATTAGGGAGATTGAGAAACACCGATCTGGTTATTCGGACAGAGATATCCTGGCATTTCTCATCTATATCTCTATCTGTCTAAATCGGTATCTATCTCCTACAGTTCCTTCAGGGATTTTTGAAAGAACTGTTGAGTTGCTTTGCTCTCCTGAGCAAAACACTAATGAATTGCACAGCATCAGTAAGACAAATTGATTTATTGTAGCATGGTGTTTTGTGAATTTCAATTCCCTTTGTCAGGTTCTTGTATTTGTTGCAGTTCAGGCATTTTAG